CAGTTGCATCTTTGCCTTTTTTTTTTTTTTTCTGATAAACGTTATTGCAGATTTCTAAAAAATCTGCAATATCCATTCTATGTCTTTAATTCGACGTTATTATATCTTGATTATGTGTAAGTATGACAATTGTTTGTATATTTATTAATATTTTATTCTTTATATCAGAGGTAAATTGGTGTATAAAAAAAGTCGTAAATTCTTTCAATTCAAAAGATCGCACGTGGTGCATTATACCAAGAAGCTTATTATTTTGAGGATGTTATGTTACTGATAATGAGATGCATCATTAATTTTCAATGTCTTAGTTACGCTGCTGCAAACGCAAAAGTATCGTTTTCTCATCTCACACCACTGTGTCGAGATCTCACAATGTTGCGATCAAAATCGGTATAAAACAGCAGCCAAATGGAATTGTTATCTTCCATCCAAACGTGACTACCGGAGAAAGAAATCGATATATTAGTTACATGCTCGATATGATCGTCCGTCGATCGTGGAACCCGTGTGCCAAATCGATGCTCTCGTCCAGATGTTTTCTCAGCGATCGCTAGTCGAGAAATCGGATCTATCCACTTCCTAGTAGATTTTGACCTGTTCTTCTATCCTTGATTCCATCCTTGACTTAAGAGTGCGGAGTCACTATTATTCTCAATCCATGCTTGATTAATACCTGCCGGGTATCTGTAGCCTACTGACTTCTCTCATTAGCGTTCTTCTTAGAAAACAGCTCTACATCATTTCACTCTGCTAAAATTGCACTATCACATAAAAAAGACATTTATAGGAATAAATAAATTTACAGAAGATTTGTGTATATATTTAATAATAATAAAAAAAAAATTTGACTTGCGTGTTGCAATTATCAATTCAAAAACCATTTTACGTCGAACACCTGTGAGCCGTAAACGCAACCGTCATAGACAGAAGACGTGCTCTTTTCGGAAGTAATTTGCATAATGTACGTTTGTACGCGACATCGTAATGTATTATTAGAGACGCATGTGTGCCTCCCTTTTTTCCGTTTCTTCACTTTCCTATGCGGCTTCCGGTTCGCGGGACAAACACGGTCATCCGCGACTACTCTCGTTCTCTCTCACAAGACGCGCGGGCTCGTATACGTGAAGAACTAGCACGTGGAGTTCTCGCAGTCAATTAACGTGAGAGAATCTCAGCACTATGTTAGTGGGTGCTGCGCGAATCACGGCGGATTCCCGGCCTTTCTTTGACATTTCATTCGTTTTCCTCGCGGCCTTCTGCGATAAAGGTTTCCTTGTACCAATTCTTCACTTGTCGCTATTCCCGAGAGAATAATTCGCATTGAATTTCATCATATTATTATTTTTATAGCGTTTTATTAATATATTCTTTACTTTATTGGAATAATTATATAATATTATTTAATTATGCTATTGTATATTTTGATATGCTACTCACGAGCTATTTATTAGTTTTTAAAGATTTAATTTGTAGTAATCTAGAACACAAATATTGCAAACGCTAATGTTTTAAAATAAATATATTATCACGATAGATTGAGAAATTATAATTAATTCTAAAATCGATTAAAAAAATTTATTAAAAATTATATTTAAAGTGTACATTTTGGATTATTGACGTAATCATTAAATAACGATTTTATATACGTATAACCGTGTAAGTGAGTAATAGATGGAAGAAACTTGTACGAAGCAATTCTGTGGAATTGAATCCGTGGCGCATTCTCGACCTTACATTGCATTCTATGTGTCTTATGACCTCTTGTGCCATCGGTAATGACTGGCTGGCTTAGAATCTCTTCAAGAGAACGATGATTACTGGGTTTTATGTTGGTTAAATAGGTCGAAGAGCATCGGACGACATTTACGAGTGCTTTTCTCTCATTTAGAAAGCCAATTTTGAAATTAGTCAGGAACGTCGGGCGAAATCTGTGTTATGTTTAGTTTAATAACGCTAAACAAGTGTGAAAACTAAAAATTACTGACATGACGAGGGTATGTGCTTGTAGCGGTTTGAAAAACGCTTCAAACTGCCACCAATTGTGTATTGGTCGTTTCGCGTAACGATTTTTGCGGCGCAGCAAAATGTCTGTTTCTTGCATAAATTACGTGTAGCAAGCGTAAAACGGGGTAATCAGCTGCATCCAGGACTAAAGAGAGGAAAACCAAGTCCAACGAGGACTCCATTCTAAAATAACAAGGGAGAAGACGTCTAGTTTCGCGCACGGCATACATAATTCTCAGTAGAATGATTCCCATGATGCGACCTAGTTTGTTCTACCGCACGTTTATTCCACCGTCGTGTCATTGATTGTTGCGGAAAGTGTACATAATAATATAATACATACAAGCTTTCGTCGGTCAAATGATACCTAGAATATCGACGAGGAGAAAAGAAATTGTTAGTATGTATCTAACGACTTTAACAACTGAACGATTTTGTCATTCTTATTTTTCTGTTGCTTTTATTGTTTAGAAGTAATTGTGTAGAGAGAATATCGATTTTACTGATAAATATTTTGTTCAATAATTTTAATGCGATAACTCGTCACTTTCATATCTTTCATTGTTTTTAAATTTAATTAGAATAAAATATATTATAGCGAATAATTTGCAGATGCTCTTTCTCTCTTTTTTTTTTTTCTACACAATATCATTTTCTGCAAATAAAATTACTACTCTTAATAAATCTTTTTGTTTTTCATGTTATAAAGCATTAATTTGATATTTCAGGCCTTGCCATTCTTACTGCTAGTGATCTGCGCGATCAGCGCGGCCTCTATCATCAGGAATGGTCGGGGCGGCCCCAACAATATTCGACGCATTCGCAGAATCAATCTGAGCGAATACCTCGTTCCACCGCCACTGCCAAGGTTTCATCCACCGGGTAGAGTCGCAAGATTGGTTACCCCTCAACCGACTGAGGCGCCAGGATATTTTGCGCGATTTATGAATTGGTTCAATCCCTTCGGTATCGGTTCTTCGTCAAATACGCCGGCGTTGTCACCACCACCACCACCACCACCACAACTCCCCCATACCAAAACTGCGTATCCTCCATCGAATTTTATACCTCCTTCAGCTCCAGGGGAAATCTATGGCAGTTCCTCTCCTGCAATTTATGACAGACCACCTCCTCCTTCCTCCTCCCTCAACAATCATCCGGGATATCCCTCTTCGAACAAGGCTAAAAACTGCAATCCCTGCAACAAAGTTCCATGGATGCCGATACAGCACGGTGATTATTCTCATTCGGGAGATGCTTCTTTCGCATTGCCGCCACCACCACCGCCCCCTCAATTATCGCCATCATTAAATGGCGAATATCTGCCACCCAGAAATCACGAGGTACCTTATGACGCTCATCATGCTGCTTCGCAAGAAGTTAGAGCTCCAGATTTTTCTTTTCCACCACCATTGCCCAGTGGACAAGACGGATCTTTCATTAGTCCGCTGCCAAATCCGCATCTGTATCCTGGAGCAATGCCACCACTCTTCAAGGCGGAAGATTTCAATCATCCTGTACAAGCCGTTCCCAACAGTAACTCGGAGTATCTTGATGCACCACCATCACCATCATCTGTTTTTGGAGATGTTAGATCCGCGGGAAATGGCTCTTTTCCGAGTACAGCGCAGCTCAATTTTAATGGTGAAGCGGTCGTTCATCCAGATTTTTCAAATTCTGATCCAGGAGTGAGGCATCAAGAATTAGGATATACTAATTCTGACGTAAACAATCCTGGCGTCAGCAACGGATGGTTCGAGCATTTTAATGCTCAGAATTATAGTGCGCACCGTGATCTATCTCCTAGCGGAACTCAGGTGTCGCATGGTCATTCTGATCTTATACCAGATCAGCAAAGATTTGAAAATACCGAAACTCAAAGTTCACTCGATTCTATAAGTCATCAAACATCGTTTGGCAATTCCGGTGTTCTAATCGATCAAAATCCTCCCAGCAGTTACGGAATTTCCGGTCTCGATCGAATACCGGGTAACCTCGAGCATCAATACAATGATTTGTCCTCCAGCGCCAACGTCGTTGAAGACTCTCGCGCACCTTTGCGTGTTACAGATGGATCTTCCGGAAAGATTGAAGATTCGATACATTTTGAGGAGTCACTGTTGCTAGATTTCACGCACAAGGATGAAAGTCGGACGGACTCGTCCTCGATACCGCCGACGTCTAACGCGTTCACAGACTTTACGAATATTGAGACTGCCGGGACGACTTTGACACTTGATGATGAGATTTTTGAAACACGTCACGACATTACTACAACAGAGTCTTATCTTTCCACGGATCGCTTCCAGACGATCAATTTTGTAACATCCTCAGAGGAGTCGAAGATTAACGACAGTGCAACACAAAACTCCAATGGAGGTCTCCATGATCATAGGGCTCTTCGGGGGCAAGACGTTTCCTATATTCCGCCATCTGATCAGGTTGGATATTTATGGTCAAGCGTCGTATCGACGACTTCAAGAAATACAGAGAGCGGAGGACTTTGGAACACTCTGAACTCTGTATTGAATCCTTATGACGATGTAGCGGAGGAAACATTGAATCAAAATTTTAATGTTAAATCGAAAGATATGAATAAAACATCTACAAAACAGCAAGACGCAAAGAGGAATATACACGTCACAGTATACACCACTTCCGTTCCATTCATCACACGAACGAAATCACGATCGAAAGGCTTTGAATTTTGCGAGTGAATCCAATCACGACAAGTATTTTAGCGAATCGAGAAACAGTATTAAAGTGACCAGTCTTTCAAATTCTTCGTATACTCGGCCGACTATTTCGGCATTGTTAGCAGATATTACTAGGAAATCAGTCGGTACTAAAGAAAACAACTCCATAGACGTACATAAATTACAAAAGAATATTGATAATTGGACGATACAGGTACATGCCATATTATTTAAATAAATGTGTTTTTTATGAATAGATATAATAAAATAATAGATAAAGTTTTTAATTCTGCAGTGTATAATGCGTAATGTTGAGTCTATTAAACTAAATGTAATAAATGGTGAATTTTAATATAGAAATATATTGGTTATAAACATCAATAAATAATATTATTTTATTATTTTTTTTGTAACACATCAAACATCACGATGAAAAATTTTCTTATCTTTCAAAAGATTTTTTAAGCATAAATTTTCAACGAATAGCATAATACTATTTTAATTTTATCCTTTATATAAATTAAAAATATATCGCATAATTGTATACAGTTTTTAAATTGTTAATCTTTTTAAAACATTTTTTCTTGTCTTATTATGTATCTTTTGGACTCAGCATTATTACTGGTGGATTTTATTTTAAATTACAAAAATAATTTCAATGATAGACTTTTGATCATGTAAAGTTGATTATTGTCAAAAATTATAATGATGATTCTAGTATATATACAACAAGAGCACGATAACGATAAATGTATTTTTTATGTTCAATTTAGGAATATTCGAAGGGTACAACCGCCGCTATTACAGTTTCGCCTAGTTCGGTCAATCCGTATCTTTTCCCTTCAAAGCAGATTCCTGATGAATACTTGACGACCACCGAACCTGTTAATCATATTGATTCTTACGACGATAACGTTAAAACTTTTACTTTGGCCGGATTTAGTTTCAACGATTTAGACTACAAAGGTTCGGCCAGCAACCATGTAGAAGGACCGCGAATACAAGTAATTAATCAAAATTTTGTGGAAATATCAATATCAAGAAATAATGCTTTATATTTCTTCGATATCTCCTGTTTAAGGTGATCGAAAATTCAAACTCGACTGAGAATTCTACTGACATTTCCACCGCATCCACAAAGAACGACAACACATGGCAGGGCTTCTCCGTGGATATTTCTTCGGTGAATAAGGAACGCGTCTACGTGGTGACGCCTCAGCCTATCATAACCACTCCTAAATCGAATTCTGTTGATAAGAGGAAAGAAAAAGCGGTGAAAGAAGCAGACAGAAATTCGAAAGTCTTGGAAACGGAGACGAAAAGAAACAAGAAGAAGTCCAATACGTTCGAGTCAATCGAGAAAGCCTATCAAGTGCTACCTCAGGCTGTGAACAACTTGGCTGTGGCTTCTACGGGTCCAGAGAGCGTTCCCTTGTGGGGCATCATGGAGCACGAGGAGTTTGCGTCGCTTGACGAGAATGAACACGAGAGCGAGGACAGTGAATCTCCTGAAATTCCTGTGCTGTATGCTGGGCACTCGAAGGTATATATGATTATATCGTATATACAACTTATAATTATATTCTTTATTTAAATTATTTTATTTGTCTATTTTAATTTTTACTTTTTATTTTATAAGAAATTATTTATTTTTTAATTTTTGACACGCTAGACTTTTTTACTAGATGCATTGTTCTAATACTAATCTAGTTTTTGGAATCTTTATATTTTTGCTACAAATTTCGTTTATAATATGTATAAATAATAAAGTATGTATGGAATAAATAATTTTTATTAATATATTGTCGTATAATTTTATATTATAACCTGCGATTACATTATTCTATATTTAGAGAATATTTTAGAAAAGTATATTTTTTCTAATTTTCTATATTTTTCTGCATCTTTTGATTGTTGAGATATTATATATACTTTTATTTTTACTGTAATCAATAAAAATTTTTAGATAATAATATTTAATTTTTTTGTTTTATAGGTATCACGTGCCAGCCGATGACGGATTAATAGTGAAAAATGCTCAAAAGGATTATTCATGCATGTGCAGACAATATTGATGATACGTTTTAGTGAAAGATGAGTGATTGTGAACAGTTATTTTATCATAAAATAGAGTTTTTCGATCATATTTCGACGAACTTTTTACTTAACAATATTTAATGCAACCAGTGAACTCTTTCTCTCTCTCTCTCTCTCTATCTATCTCTCTTTCTACTTTGATTCTACGTATGTGCGTAAGTGATTATTGTGGCCAGTGTACCGGATAAATGTATTTTGTAATCCGAATCATGTGTATCTTTACGAGTTTTGCTATAAGTAGTACAATAAGTCTAAAAGCAAGAAATAAGCCTAGGAAAAACTATGACAGTGCGGCTTATATTTGCATTAAGTTGTCATTACAACTTTTGCAAAGTGGTTGGAAACCAATATTTCAAATACAGAGAGAATGCCAATTTATATATGTGTAAATAAGTTACATAATAATTTTAATAATTCTCATTTTGATAATTCTCTCTTTTACAAGAGAACTATGCTGTCCTTCGATAGTACAATCGTACTTAAGTTACTTGGATTAAGATAAACAAATAAGGAATATATCGTAATCTTTTTTATATTAAATTAATGTGTTTTTAGAAATTTGCTTTTTTATTATTTTAAAACGTGTTTTTGAAGTCAAGTTTTCTTCTACAAAAATGTCGAGAAAAATGATCGAAACACGTTAATACAGTAACGGATATTTTGTATCGATCAATCAGGTCAGTATGTGTTACACGAACTGGGTTTTAAGTGAATACGCTTTCATTTCCTGAAGTGTTTTTGTTCAATTCTGTAAGTTAAATCAAGGTGAGTTTAAGGTCAATTTTCTCAGAAGCTATTGTGCATGTTAAACACTTTCCAATGCAAAAGATTTCTCGCAGTCATACTTATTGTTAGCTTGAAATAAATGATGTTCCAGCGCGATATAAAAACAATACTGAATAATGAATAATAGAAAATGCGCAACGCGCGAATAATAAATGTTAATTTATCTGATTTATTTATATATAAAAAATTAATATATTTTTATTCCTACAAGAAATTAAATTAGATTATATTAAAGTGATGTATTAAATATTATTCTATATTTTTCTGCACAATGCAAAACGTAATACTCTTGTGACAATATGCTATTAATATACTAAACCATATTTACAGCGTAAGATACTTAAAACTCGTACAAACTTTCTCATTTTAATTTTAGAAAATTGCAGGTGCGGTTGTTTTGAAATACAATCGCGTTTACGGCTATTTGAATTTGTCCTTTATGCATTTGCCAACCACGTTCGGTCATCACTTTCGCCGATTTCGTAAAGCTGGACTTCCGCCAAAAAGTGTCACGACTATTTGAGCATTGCTGCAACTAAATATACGTTCGTACGTGATATACATGTATGCATATCACGCAAGTCATTCTCTTCCGACTGTACGGTGAAAGGGGATTTTGTGTCGCGAATTTCGAGATCATATTTTTTGTTTGTTTCAAGTAAAGAATCGTATATGGAAGGAATAATACAGTACTTGAATATTACATATATTTGACAAAAATATTTTATACGCATATACATTGTTTTTTTACACTTAAGAAAGATATAATTTTGATGCGAGAGAGAAATCAAAGTATTTCTGTGCTTTACTTTTCTCAAGTCATCACACGTTAAGAGAAAATTAAGTGATATCGCGCGTACATCATAACTCTTGCATGTCATGAAAAAGATGTTACATTTAACGAGTAAAGATTTGACGCGAGAATAGAGGAATCTCCAACATTGTTGAACAGATTGACCGGCTTGATGCAACATTATCTACATTTCATTGACCTTCGAACTTCCTTTTCAGATCTCTTCAGAAAGATCACACGTCGCAAGACGTGAGAATTTCCGCCGGAAAATAATGGGAAAGGTGTTCCATTGTCTACTGCAGTTGTCTGTCTTTAAAGACTTGAGTCGTCTCGAGAGGATTAGCGCTCTAATTGGATTCATTTCTATGGTAAATGATGTCGAACAAGGACACGACCTTAATTGCGAATGAGGAAATTTAATAAGCCGCGTAAGAATTTTTAATAAAATATATTTGATTAACTACATGTTTTTATTAATCTTTTTTATCGAGTTTGGAATTTATTCACAATGTAGATATGTTGACAATGGTTTATTTATAAAAATAAAATTATTTTGTACATTATATTTTAAGATGTTTCGGGTAATCTTGACTTCCGCCGTGTAGACTTCCTCCGTACGAGTAATATCTCTATTGTCCACATAAATAACGTAATGGTGGTCACAAAATTAATCAGTATAATACAAACTGTGTAATTTCCTGTATTATCTCGTATTACACCTATAACAAATTAATTTTTTATTTAAATTTAAAATCTTTTTAAATTTCTGGTAAATGTTCGGATTAACTTACATCTCACGGATCGTTTTCATTTTTACATAGAAGGTACATTCCTAAATACCTATCCCGTAAATATAAACAAACACTTTTTTGTCTACTCTACAACAAATACAATGTACACAAACTTCACTTTTCCTAATATTACTTTATAATATCAGAGAAAAAGTATTAAAACTGTGAAACTTCAAAATCGCATATCTCTCGAACCAGAAGAGAGAGACAAAATTCAAAGCGTGTATTACTTAGGAATGCACCCTCTACAATATATGCAAAAATAAAAATGATCCGTGAGGTGTAAGTTAATCCGAACATTTACCAAATTTCTTTCTCCCTCTCTCTTTTTTTCTTATAAATTATATATGTATAAAAAATATATTATTAAGAATTAATAATGAGATAATAAATAATTAAATCTAATATTAATATAGTACCTAATATTGGACCAGCGCACGTAAGGATCACTCCGTTGATTAACATCTGAATTCCGGAAGCGCTAGGTAACTTATGGATGGGGACGTGGCTGGGTACTACTAAGGTCATATACACTGAACGAATTCCTTTCGCCAATCCCAAACCGATAGCAACCATTAGTACCGAAAGGAAGCTATTTGTAAAGATCAATGCTGTACCGAAAATAAATAGAGATAAATTTGTCGCTGTTATATATTGTACAATTCTACTTTTTCACTTTTATATCATGTTATTTTTTTTTCAGATCAAAAAGAAAATAATTAATATACGTTACAGCTTCTGCTAATTATCAGAAGAAACAGGCTAAGCATATACATCATCCTAGGTGGCTGACGTAGCCACTCTCCTAAGTACGGTGATACGCCTCTGCCAACGAGATCGGCTATTGCGATAACGCTCATGACGTTGGCAATTTCTGCCGTTGCCATTCCCATATCAGCGAGAATGAACGGCGTCAGCATGGAAAAGTTTATCTCCGCAAAAATCGCTATCGACATTCCCAACATGATATTTACGTAAGTAGGATCGCGCAGAAGATCGAAATCGTAAAGATTAGCCATTCGATGAAAAATTCGGCTGATGGCGGATTCATATCTGTAATATAATTTCTATATATTTTATCAAGTTTTTTGTGACTATAGAGTTACAATTTATATAACTTTAATGAGGTAATGTTATGTTATTTAATATATTTATATTATATTCTCTTATATCCATGCACACATATATTATAATAATAAATAGAAAATTTTTTTATACTTACTTGTCTTTATCGTAATTTTTTTTGTTTGGAAAGTTACTATTCTCTTTTTCTAATAGCGAATTCTTTTCCATAATATTCTGGTTTATACTTTTATTTACTTTACTATCAATAAAAGTCAATTTTTTCGTTATCAGTACAGGTTCGTCAAAAATTTTTATGCTACTGCCGAGGTTTATGCTTTCTACACTTTTTGCTAAAACAAAAATATATAAAATTTTACTAAAATACTGAGCGTATTTTTTTTTTGTATTGCGGATAATCACAATGTTTTGTATATCACGCTTAATTGTATTCTACACATCAAACTTTTGTAGTATTTAATTACAGATCTGAATTTTTTATTTCACTATCTCTCATGTTTTCAAAAAAACCACAAAATTTTAATCATAGATTTATCTTAACATATTTACCTGAATTCCAAAATGAATATTTTAAACATTTACGGTTATCATCTAAATTTGTCACTGACGCTCCTTTAATTATTGACGTTTCCGTGTCATAATTTGCATTATACACTAAAATAAATATAATATGATAATATTTTTATCTATTTAATGTTCTGTAAAATTTTTAAATTAATAATTAATTATTAAATTCAAATTATATTTATATTAAATTTCGGGTTACATACTTGTTTTGTCTATAGAAATCTGTGTAGATAAAGGCGTATCGAATCCGTAAATGCTTCCAACATCGACATCGTGATCGATGCTTGATATAGTCGTTTTCCTTTTTCTCTGATAGTTGTCCAACGTCAGTTTCGAAGAGTGTATATTAGCTTCATCTTCCGCATTATAGGTCGATATATCTGTAAATGATCACGAATTATTATACAAGAGACAATTTCTCAAGTATGGGCATATTTTTAATTAGCAAGTAAATACCTTCTTCATTATTGCTTAAAACTTTAGAATTTTCAGGGATTGTCTCTAAGCAGAGGGGTACTCTTTTCATGTGCCATTTAACTGGTTGTAGCAGCAATGCGCCCATTATCGAATGAAGACTGTAAGCGCCAAGTATCAAGACGGTTTCCTGTTTAATATTATATTTTTTAAATTGCATATATATATTTTCAATACACGTTTTATAATAAACGTTGCCACGTTTTTGCAACTATTTGTCAATAATTATAATTTGTATACTTTGATAAATCGCGATTGGAAATTAAAGAGATAGAGAGAGAGAGAGAGAGAAAGAGAGAGAGAGAGAGAGAGAGAGAGAGAGAGAGAGAGAGAGAGAGAAATAAATTTTACTAAATAGTTCATTAAACTTTATATTATAGATTGACACACACATAATATATTTATGCGTACAAGATTGCGGTTACTTTAACATTAACTGCAGATGATATAACTAGTGAGAACAAACAGACATCTACGCCGACCCACATCGATAAGCTATTGCTGTTGCATTTTATAATCGGCATAATCTAGCGCAAATGAGGATGCATCAAACGAAAAGCTTCAAAGCAAACATAAATACACATAGGTATATATCTTTCTGCCCGACAGTGTTACCTTGTCAATTCCGATTCTCTTTTACTTGGCATAATTATCTTACATATCAAGGAAATATTAAGAAAGGATATTTAATTCTTTGGATATGTTACTGTATTTTTTTAGTGAGACATAATTTTTGAAATACCTGTATACCGTAGAATGCAAGTAAGAAGGATGCTACTTGAGGCATAAGAATTGGGCCTAGTCCGGTGATGGTTACTGCCAAGGCCATAGCTCGATTTCGCCTTGTAGTGAAGTAAGTATTAATCGCCAGAGAAAATCCAGACATCGACATACCCAAACCAACAGCTATTCAAAAAGAATATAAACATGATCAAGATAATTTATTTTAAACAGGTGTATCTATTCAAAAATCTTGAAAAATTTGATGTTTGATTCAAATCTAAAATTCATTTTAATAATTGGTCATGTCCGAATCATTTGCGACATAATATAAAGATAATTTTTTAAATAATTGCTTGCTTTAGAAGCGATTATTATAATATTTACAATTGATACTGTGTTATATATATGTATACACATATAAAAGACATTATTATAATAATGTGCTTGTCGAAAGATTCTTTTACTTACACGTTAGCATTCCATAACAAATAAGAAAGAAAGTAAAGGTATTGGCGAATGCCGTCAACATTATTCCCGCTGTGTATATTATGCTTCCAGCCAACGCTACTTTCTGGTATCCAAAGGTTTTCAAAAGAGCCCCATTAATCATGCCAAACATCATACCAAATGCCAAATTTACATTGATTATAATTGACGTATCTGTCGCATTCATATTAAGTTTGGCGAAAGAATCTTTGTATATCAATCCGAATACTTGTATAAACGGTATGGTCGATATCTATGAAAAGTTTTTATTCAAATTAATCTTTGTTTCGATTTTGAAGGAAGAGCAATTTTAACTTGTTGACAAACGTTATACTTTTTGTCGTGCTATTATTTTTGTCACATCTGCATTATATTCTTGTTATGTTACAAAAGATATGCATGGTAACTTACGCCATTTAATGCACCGGCCAGAACAATAACCCATCCCCATCCTCCATCGGGTGGCACTTTTGTAAACATTTTACAAATTAATGTAAAATTAAATTATACACCGGAATAAAGTCTTGCAACAATTTTTAAAATAATATTACTCATCCAAAGAGTATTATGGGAAGAGAACTTGCAGAGAACACTAAAAATTTGCTTTATTAAATAAATGTCATATGTGCGTTATGTGAACAATGTGTGTTACGCGTAGAGAACATTAAAAATTTATTTTATTAAATAAATATTATATTTAATATTTTTGTTTTAATATTTAATATATATTTATATAGTCATTAATTATTATACATATAGAGTAATTGTTTTATTTAACAATTATTATTATTGCTTACAATTGCTTACAACAACACATTTGATTGAATAATACGATTGCGTCATTTGTTATAATAAATTAATTATTTTATACCAATTTTACAAAATAAGCATGACTTGCGATTTGCAATCTTAGTTGCTTGTCAATCGATTTTATCCGCATCGATCGTTATCGTAATCATTATTTGACGTTCATTTATGAATGTGTCATCCGAAGGTGACATAAACTTCAAAATTAATCTTATTTTACTCGCGATAAACAAATAAACTTTTTATATATTACTTACTAATATTATATAATATTTTATTCCCGCTGAAAGAGTTTAACCTAATCCCAAGTATCTAATATATACAATTTCAATATTTATAACACAAAGAAATTTGCACAGTAACAAAATATTATATAATTTATATATAAGCAATTGCGTTAAGATCTAGTATCTTTCTTCTTCTATGAATTGGCGCACATATTTAATTGGTTCAACACTAACATACAAAAAAATGTAGCACGCGAAACTAGACAATCACAATATATATTTTCCTAGTCCGATCATAGTGTTGTGTCTTGCGTTGTGATAAAAGCTACACTGATGTTGACGCACATTTTCGCAAGAGATAAAAAAAGTATTCAAGCTTAAGAATAATCTAATCTGATCGCCATCTATGATCGATTCTTCAATCTTCAATAAATTATCAGACTACAATAGAAAATCTTCCACCAGATGAAATAGTCGAAATGTCAATGCCACACATACATACATAGGATCTAATATTACATATATGTATAGTTGCAAATAAAATACGTGATTTTTAGAAATATAATTTAAAGAAGCATATAATATATATTTATATTTATTATTTATATTATTTGACTACTTTCTGAATTAGTAATTACAAATTATTGGAACAAAATTTTCACAAGCAATTAACAAGATGTCTTGTTAGCATAAAATAAAACAATTTTATTATTATACGTATTTTTTTATTATTGTGTATAATTAAATTATTATAAAATATACAATATATTTATATATATTTTATTAGTGTATATATATATATATTTATATTTTCAAGTATAAAAATACAAATAATTGATAAAAAATTCTTTAACTTTAAATGTGTGTGTGTGTGTACACAGCAATAATAATTGAATTTTTGTTCTATGTGTTATAAGAAAGATAAGAAAGAAGACGAATAGAGAAGATAGAGTAGAAAAAATGATATGCGTTTGAGTGTGATGAGTCATTTATATATTCGAAATTGCTAATATATCATATGTGTACATGCATATTGTAATGTTGATACTTGCGTTGAACCTTTGTTACGTGTATCGAGTTGTTATTCATTGATAAGAATAATTAATGTGCGCATAGAAATTTATATGTAATCGTTTCATTTTATGTTAAAGAATCGTACGAATTATTTTTAAAATTGAAGCTATTTTTTGTAATCAAATATATTCGGGATTTTGCTTATATGCAACATATTATACGTACAAGTTACAATAAAAGTGATTAATCAATATTTTTATAAAATCGATAGTGATTTGATTGAATTATTCACTCTATATCGATGAAATATTTAATTTATCAATAAAATTAGTAATTCCATACAAGTTGTCTCTATACTAGAAATTTTATAAAATCATAAAATAAGATTTCATAAAATCATAAAATCATAAAATAGAAATTTCTTAAAATAAAATAAAATAAAATATTTTTACGATAACATATATATTATTAAATTATATCACACAATATTTTATTTATATTTATAAATTTTTCTATATTATCTTTATACTTGTAGTCTAAAACTTGCAGTCATAAATCGAAAATGCTAAATTAATCGCTATCAAATTAATTTTAAACATTTTGACGAGAATTGTCTTCTGGACTTTGTTGAGTCAATCTTAAAATATTCTTACCAGGAGTCCAAAGTCCACCTATAGACCATAAGAAGACACAGGACAAGCTGAGAAGAGATGTAAAATATAGCGCACCTACGTAACTATCCGTTAAATCATGCACTAGACCTAAAAATAGTTAATTGTAATTAAAATAGAACATTAATAAAATATTGCTTTGTTTAGTTAGTAAAATTTAAATTAAACACTCGAAGAAAATTGAAGCAATTTTTATTGCACATTTAGAATCTCTCTTTACCAATAATTGGTCCCACGATAATAGACAGGATGCCGTTACAGACCATCTGAATACCGGATGCAGACGGCAATTTCTCCAATGGTACGTATTCGGGAATAATTAGAGCTTGGAAGACAGCCTTGGTTCCCTTTGACAATCCGACGATCAGAGATACTCCGATCACGATGACGTAAGAATTACCCCATGTCGATAGAACTGTCAAAAAAATAACATAAACATCGACTTTATAAAAAATGTACATAAAACTGAGAATTCAAAGATTGATTCTCTCAAATAGATATAATAATTTGATTATTAAAATTATAATATAAACGTATTATAGTATATATGTCAGATTTTTATAGGAAGCCGCGTTTTAATAATTCATAAATATAACATGATTAACGCGATTCGAATCGTATCAATTATTATACATATTATTATTATGTTTAGCCAACTATCAACCCACCCCAAAGATCGCGGTCTCGTCGTGAAGAGATTCCTCGTGTTCGTATACTTTATGTGGCGGTACGTACTAGTCCTTCCAAGGATCGATCCTAGTAGGGATATCACGTAAAGGTTCCTGCACGTCCAGCCGGATTTTTGTGCCAACAGTGGCACGCAAAGTCGTCCTGTGATATCCGCGGCAGCCTGGATCGACATCACCGTAGCTATTGAAGTTCTGTTGAGGCTCGCCAATTCGGCCAGGACGAAAGGTATCATCGCGTTGAAATTTGTTTCCGCCACTAACGAGACACTCATGCCTAATTTTTAAGTGTACGTGCGTATATTATATATATCTGACAATTCCAACTCTGCTCTAGTAAAACTCTTGTGAATTCGATATATTTATCTACCTAATACTATGGCTGTGTAACGACTGTCACGAAGAAGATCGAGATCCAAATTTGTAGCAATATTTTCGAGACACGAAGTTTTTCTATTTTTATTTACTTTTGTTTTAATATTTCCCAAACAATGATTCGATTGTCTTTCCTTTTCGGCATCTTCCTCATTTAATAATCGACATTGAACAATGTCATCTTGTAAATTTGCCTCGTTTTCAGCACATGAAGCTTCTGTTTTTCTCCAACTTTTTTCTTCCTTCAATACATCAGTAGTTTTATTTATCAGAATAATCTGCTAAAAATGGAAGAAGCTTTCCAAATATGCTATATGTTTTATATTGTTGATGCAATATACAATTTGATGACTGAAAGATATAAAAAGATAGAATGGAGGGAATCAGTATAAGATCGTGCTTTTTCTCGCATACCTTTAACTCACCTCTTTCTGCTTTTTAAATGGTCTTAATAACGATGCACCGATAAAAGAATGTGTGGCAATTCCAGCAAGGATCAAAAGAGTGCCGGTGGTGGCATAATTCTCGAGAAGTACATCTATCAAAAGAGGCATCAAGATTGGACCCAAACCGGTCATTGTAACCGAAAAACCCATAGCTACGTTGCGTTTCTTGCGGAAATACGTATTCAGAGCTAAGGTTGTCGCTAGAAAAATAATTCCTTCTCCGATACCTGTTAAAAATATACCAGTTTAATAACTAATACTAATATTAGATATTATATTATAATTGAAATTAGAATAATGCAGTTAACTATATAAAAATATTGATTGTAAACTTTGATGATGTTGTAATTGCGCAAATGTAATTAAATTATTGTTGAAATTATTGCAATTATTAAAGCTCAGTTGACAATTGTAATGCTGTTTTTGTTTGAGCACTGCTGAACACTGAGGAGAGAGAGCAAAAGCCATTAAGTTCCGTGGCATTCAACACTAATTATCAAACACGTTATCTGACTCTAGTAATTATTCTGTAACACAAGTTACTTACCGATAATAACGCAATAAGTGATAATAAGAGTCGGAAGAGATACCGCGAAAGCAGCGGTGCAGATTCCAAGAACGATCGTTAGGCCGCCGAAATATGCGACCTGACGAAAGGTGAATCTTTTCATCATTGGACCGCTTATCAGGCCTAGACTGCACGTTATTGTTCCATTAAGATGAAGAATTAGGCTTGTTTGCGTTGCGGTGATACCGAGACTTGTAAAACGTTCCGCAAAAATAAGTCCGAAACACTGTTGCACTGGCAGCACGGCTAACTGATAAAAATAATTGCGATCAGTTTTGCAAAAACTATTTTTAAAATTTTGTAATGTTTTTTAATATAATGACAAGCTATTAGCATAAATATCACGAATATTAATAGAGAATGCTATTGTTTTAAAACCTAATTTTAAAATATTTTTTTAAATAATTTTTTAAAGATGCAATTTTTTGTTAGAATAAGAAAGAGAAAAAAATTTTTAATTAAAATGAAGATCGCGTGGGAGCTAAAACGTTTTATATCAATGAAGATTAATCGCTTTGAATTTCTAATAGCAATTACAAAAGAAGGACTGGCTTACATTGATAACAGTTACGCCGACAACGATAGCCCATGCCCAGCCTTGGTCTGTTTTGTCACGTGCCATTCTATCAATCGTATCGATCACTCTTCTACAGGTACTTCATAAGAGTATGCGATTTCTAGAAATTTTCAGTTGTATTCCGTGCTCGTACTTTCGATAAACTGTACGTTTAATTATTCTCTAACGTACGATATTAAGTTTGGATTGGCCAAGTGTCTGATAAGATACGAGTTATAATATCTTTCTGCCAGCTACGAGATAAGGTTTCTTTCACACTTCGATTCAACTCACAACTACGTTGCATTTACATTTCCGATGAGAGCTTATAAAAGTATTCGTATTTAATTGTTGAGTTTTTGTATTTGATATTTCTTTAAGAAACAGATGTTATATATCGCGGATTCTGTAATTAAAAAAAATATTTGGAATCGAAAGCTTAATTAATACAGTAAAATATTGTAAATTAAGTAAAATATATAATTAAGTAATGTATAAATTTATATAAAAGAAATATATATATATATTTATATAGAATATGTGTGTGTGTGTGTGTTATATTAATTCAACGTAGTGATTAATAAAGTGGTATTAAAGCAGAAGCAATGAAAACGAGCAATTCGTCCAATTTAACTCAATTGACTCTAAAAACTGCGATACTTATAACGATAAAAATAGCGACAACTTTCACAAATTGTCAAAGTTGTCTCATTTTTGACATGTATATAATTTGATATATGTATAATTTTATAGCATATATATATATATATATATACTTTTACATCTTCAAGTTTTTAAAAAACTTCAAATTTTTAATATATTGTCAATAGTATTGGTGTTTTTCGGATATATATTACAATTATTTCATATATTTTTATTTTTTTTTACTTAAATAATAATTATAATAGAATAATTAAAAGAATCGGAATAAAAAATAATATATTCTTTGAATGTAATATATCGTTAGTTTGATTACTTATTACTTAAATAGCTCAGCAATAATTACGTGTAATAACGTGTTTGATTTCTTTTGTTTGCTCTTCGTCAGAACAGCTTAACTTTTTTATACCTACTTATGATCAGGCGTTCTTATTTTCTCTCGCAAACTGCTTGTTTGGTGATCAAGCGCAGATGTTTAACGAAGATATTTGGCCAAGATGTTTGTCAGGTCTGTGTTAGTAAATTAACGTTATTGAAAAATTTATAATTAAATAATTATAATCTAATTATACACAATCAAAATTTTTCAAGATTATGTTGATTCAAACGAGCAACACTCCCACGCGTTTAATTTTTAATCAATTTAAATGCCGAGCACATGTTTAGAATGCACATGTTTTATATAAATGTTCTGCACACGTGAAAGCTCGGAACATATGTTCTGACACGAGCAGCGGACGCTCCGAGACTGGCTTGAAGAAGAGTTTGAACGATAAAAACCGGCTCTGCAACTTCATCTAAACGTTGATCGTTCGTATCAAGTGGTAACAACTGCGTCTTTGTTCACGAGCGCGAATGCACGCGCAGTTCTCAGTGTATTTATTTATCAGCCAATTCTTTGCACACGTTTGGCGCAAATTTATCAACGCGCCTCATTATCTCGCAATAGATGCAATGACACAAATGAGAACGTATGTGTGTTACGTCAGACATATAGAGTATCAAAATTTTATCGCGCTTTAATAAATTTGCAATTTTATATAAAAAATAACAAATTTTAATAAGAACACAAATAAACAGATATATAAAAAGAAATATGGATTGTCTGCAAAATATATCAGATCTATTATGCATGCAAATCATCTTTTTCTTATTTGAGTCGATAGTGATTTGATTGAATTATTCACTCTATATCGATGAAATATTTAATTTATCAATCAAATTAGTAATTCCATACAAGTTGTCTCTATACTAGAAATTTTATAAAATCATAAAATAAGATTTCATAAAATCATAAAATCATAAAATAGAAATTTCTTAAAATAAAATATATTATGCATGCAAATCATCTTTCTTATTTTGAAGATTCTTTTATCAATTTAAAATTTCCTAAAAAAAAAAGACTTTAAACAAGACATTTTATTTGTAAAATAATATTCAGCTCAACAAGAAAAAATTTTACTTTTGGATAAAAATACGAGAAACAAGTTCATTGCACCTACGAAAATACAAAGTAATATTGACTGTAGATAAGACGATATCAGCGTGTAATTATAAATTATAAAGTTGTCGCGAAGATATTTCGGATTCGATTCAACGCGCAAAAATTATTTTTTTTTTAAGGCAAATAATAGCGTAACTACAAAAATTTTAACCGATGTATGATTGATCATAGTGATAATCATTAATTATACGAGAATTATCAATTAAGGGAAAAAAATATTTTTAAAAAATTAATTAATTTTATTAATATTCCTGCTTTTTCAGTTGCGTCAAAATTAGACGTGCTTAATAAATACATTCAAGATTATTGTGAACACACAATTACTACTAAACTTCAATTATTATTCAATTATTTGCATTTGTAATTTTTTAGCTATGGTAAGTCGTCGTTTACAAAAGGCGATGTATAAAAATTCGATGCTCCACATAATAAAAGTGACAAGTATTATAACGGTCATTATGTGGATGCAGATTTTGTAACTTTTACTGACATCTCTGATGTATCCTTTTGAAGAGAAAATAGATATCAAATTAGAATTCAATGTTATTTTAATAAACATTTAATAGATATTTAAATATTATATATATTTCATATTGTACCAACATACCGATTAAAGGACTTATAGTGACCACGCATAAGCCCTTGAACACCATATACATTCCAAATGCACTCGGTAACTTCTTCAAAGTACAACATTCTGATATGCAGAGATTAAGATTCACCAATGTAGCGCCGCGCAAGAATCCCGCTATCACAAACATGATGATTAAGGGTATCTTTGCCGATTGTTCTGCCAATACTGTGTAATAACAAAATTTTATATTTTCTTATTCATTTTTTACAACTTTGTGTAAATTATATTTTAAATTATATTTTAATAATTAAAAAATAATTAAAATAAATAATAATGTAATAGCAATATGATGCAACATTTAAACTTAATAATGGCAGATTTAATGAAAGAATTACCGGAACGTGCGGTTCCAACGAAGAGACAGAAGACCCAAAAGACCATGCGCTTTTTCCAACCGAACTTGTCGAAAAGCGTCGGCAATAACAGTCTGGCGAGGATGTCAACAAAAGCAGTCAGGGATAAGCAAAAGGCGACCTCCGCTTTCGTCATTCCTGTTGATTGTCAAGTTCCTACGAGCAGTTTATGTAATTTCCAAGCAGTGCTATAGCGAGGATGTTTGTTTTTCAATCATCGAGCTCCCTACAATATTGTGCTAATGTGGCATTGGCATAGATTTGTATGTGATGTGAATAATTTATAATTTCAATATATTCATGTGTTTGGAACACAAAAATATAAATCTTATTTATCAACAAAATAATAGACATCCTTTGCTACGGTACGCTGATTACGATTTACAATTAAATGCACTCACCGATATCCGAGAGAAAGAAAGGCATCATTAATTTAAAATTCGATTCGGCTACGTAGAAAAGACTGCAACCTAGAGAGACGTTTAAGTACGTGGGATTCTTGAGAAGATCCAAGTCAAAGGTTGCTTTTATCTTCTTCATAAACGATTCATTTTTAGATGAGAGTTTTGATTCATCTTCCGCCTTTTGATCCTTGGTCCAAGTTGATCCGTTCGACATCCTTCGTGATCCAGTAGGATTTGTTTTCATTAATAAAGCTTCGCTTTCTCGTTCTTTATCAGTCTTTTCCTGAAGAAGAATTTTATACGAACATGCTATTATACATATTATTTTTTATGATATCAGTATTATTGTTCATATGTACATGAATATATTTTTAATTTTTTTCTCCAGTAATTTAATATATAAAAATTCGAGATATATTAAATTAATAAATTATACGTTATTTGACAAATATATATCGCTTAAAATCACTTAATATTTTTTAGATTGGAATATAATTACTTCAACTGGCAGTGACAATGATCGTTCTTCAAGTGGACGTAATAAACATGATCCTACTATAGAATGCAACGCCCATCCTCCCATGATAAGTGTTGTGCCGCGAAATCCATATAATTCCAGCAGCATGTGTATTAGCTGTACAATGTATAATTAATTATGAGAGATTTATTTTTTCCCTTTCATTTCAAATATATTCCTTACCAGTGGCACGAGCATCATTCCCAATGCAGTTCCTGCCATGGAAAATCCGACGGCTTGGCCACGCTTTTTGTCGAAAAATGTGTTCAGTGCGACGAAGGAACAAGCCGTTGCAAGGCCAGTACCCAGACCTAAAATAAATAATAATTATAGAAAATATACGTGCGGAAATATTATTTAAATATGTAATTATTAGTAAGAGAAACTCTCTGTATGCAAAACTAAATAATTTATATATAATAATTATTTTATACCTCCTAAGATGCTGTAGGTGCAAATAATATAAAGCATACTATCAGCCCTTGATGTAAGTATTAAGCCACTGCAGCTGAATAAAGATCCAAAGAATGCGACTTGCCGATAAGAAAATTTTTTTAATAATGGTCCAACTAGAAAACCTACAAATTTATATAAACAAGATTCGATAAACAAATATAGTTTTTTTCTTTTTAAATTTCTAAATTTTAGAAATGTTTTAAAAAAGAGAAAGCGGAAAAGAAAGAAAAATAAAAAGTTCTCTAATATTTAAAATAATCACATATATTTAGATAGTGGGAAAAAGTCGCATTTACCTGTAAAATTGACAATGGCATCTAGAACGCTCATTATAACCGACGTTCCTATAGAATCCACATCGAGGTTTATTAGCAGATCTTGGAAAAGTAATCCAAAAGATGGGTCCAAAGAACGCAAAGAAAGCTGCAGTTTACGTACCATGTTGTCAGTAAAATAAGCCAATATTTTCAAATGGAATAAAATCAATAATATATTAATCTGTACGATATGCAATAATGTAGCGAAATAAAAATAGAAAATGTAACAATAATAGTTTTTATAAAATTTTCTGATAATAATTATTCCAATCTTATTTTATGAGAGAATATTTCAAATATTTTTTCTTTTTATAATATATTTTTATTAAGAACATAAATAAATAACTTTGACACAATAGAATGCGATAGTGATTTTGCCAGAATTTACCGTAATTAGACTGCTTCCAAGGCAAACGAACCAGCCCCAGCCACCATCCGGAGGTTTTTTAGTATCTTTCTTTACGTTTTCTGTCATTTTCCAAACAAACCGTTTTTAATACAGTTTAACATAGATTAACACTGATGGTAAACAACACTGCACACATATACTGAGAGCTACGTTCTGTCAACGATCTGTTGTAAATTATATGAGCGTTTTTTGATCGAATAGCACTCGCTGACCACCAATCAGATTCGTTTGCCTCACTACCATACAGCTTCTTGTTTCTGGGTGACTAATCGTTGGTCGTGATGTCAGCAATTTACTTCTACACTTGTTTCCACTCCTACTCTTAGAAAGTACACTGGACAATCTATATAACGGAAAATTCTGTATCGATGTATGTAGCATGTACGATCGATTGAACGAGGAACTTGCGAGTATGCAGCAAGAAATAATCTTATGCATAATATGCAAGTTACGCAATAGCAAAAAAAGATTATATTAACATTCATTTACATAACGTGCAAGGCACAATTAATTGTAATCAAATTTGACGAACGTAGTAAATGAAAAAAATATCTACCTTGCATGTCACATGAACGTATGAAACGTCAATGGAAAAATACATTAAGTTTTTTGTATGTGTAACTTTTTCTCAATATCTTATCTTTACATTATATATAAAGTATGCTCTAAGTTATATATATTTGTGTGTGCAATAAATACGATAGAAAAATGTATCTTTGATCAAGTATCTTTATACAAAGTCCCGTTTTATTATAAACATGATCGTTTCACACAATTATGTCATCACATATATGTCATTTTGCCATACTTTGTATATTTTTTGTAACAATTATTTTAACATCATAATGAAATTATAAATATATTATAATACATATTAAAACTTACATTTTTGATTGTAAAATTAATTTTATTATTTATATTCGCTGTTGTTTCATACGATTATGTCACCTCTTATACTACTTTATATCTTGCTGCTCACTTCTTTCTTGCTCAATAACGCACAGATCTTTGTAATTTGCCAACATAAATGACTGAACACGACTTGATATAATTGGCGAGTGATTGTTCATGCGCGTGTCTACTAGTTACAGAATCGTTTGCAACACTGACCGACCTTCGTTGGATGACCGCTTTATCGGTATCCACACACATTGTGAATAGTATATATATATTTAGATAGTACTTATGAGATAATAAATATAAGGCTAGACTTATACGAAAAAATTATTTTTATTAATACGCATTAATAATTATAATAAAATTTAATTTTACATTAAAGTTTATATAATGTTGCACACAATAAATAATATAATAATTTAATGTAAAGATAATTTATATTGAA